TTTTTTCATACGATTCGAATCTGTAATAATATACAGTTTTGTATTGAAATCATGCTGATGTTGCTATTTCGAAAATTTTGTATGATTTATATGTTTCAATAGCTCGGAAAGGTTGGATCCACCCTGTCATTTTGAAACAACGTAACGGAGAATTTCATACATTTCATTCATTAAGTGAGGTATTGCGTTAGAAATGAATGTGGGATACGTGGTATTTGCCTAATAACTAGTGGAAATGTAAATTGTGATTTCATGAGTCTTTTCATTCAATTTTCCACAAACGAAACAAACTAGAAATTCAAAATTGTACAGAATTGAAATATGTAGGGTTCTTCTTTCTATGTTTCATTTTCCGCTAGGATGACCTCTATTTTCTCCGTATTTGTCGCATTTTCCGCTACAATGTCATCAACGACAGTGGAACTCTCCACCTCTGTCTCTGAAGTGTTGGAAGTAGTTATTGGCCTAATTGAAGTCGATTTCATTGTATGAATTTCTGAATGTTCACAGTTCCTACCGGAAGTTCCTTCTCTACATAGACATCTGTAACTTCCTTCATCCTTTACGACGGAAATACACTTTGCCCCATTTTGGCATACTTCGGAGTGTTCCTCGCAGTAGTTTAGTTCTGAAACGAAATCGTTTCTGTATGAGAAGATACAATCGGTATGAGAGATGTTTATGATATGACTAATTTGAACATTCATAGAAAGATCTCGAAATAAATCAGATGTACAAAAACGCCTAATATTAGATACTTCAAGAGGTTAATTGATTAGGTAGAAGATGTTTTAGGAAATTAATTTCCCAGCGCATAGTAATATGTGGTGGTTTACATATATTCGTTGAAAAACATATACTTCAACCTGACTGTATCTAGATTGAATGTACATTAATAATTAGAAATTTAAATGATAGGATTTCATCCTAAAAAAACCGTGACAATTCCCTGAGTGAAAATCCTCTGGTTGCAACTGTCCTATATTGTCGCTAGCAAGAGAACAATGAAAAGAAAAGGTGGAAAACCCACCTTCCGTGAAGGGTTTTATCTTGTAGTAAAAAGGCGTTGACGTGGTACAACTATTCAAACACCAAATTGTTGTAAATGTTCAATATAGGCATCTATCAAAAGCCAGGACGTTTGTTTAAAGATAAGATGGGTAGAACGGAATATCCACTAAGGATCATTCAACAAATTCAGGATTCGTCAGCCGAACAAAACCAGAAACACCTGTATGACACCTGTAGCTTCCGCGAAATCTACCATCCTAACTGATGAGAAAAGGATTTCCTTTCTTCTTCTTCTTCTTTTCGGAAGATAGGGTACTAGCTTTTCGAACTATCAATATTTGCATGTTCCATGCATAACGGACCAATCTGGACAGAATAAAGTAATGGTATGTTTGGTTGTATCTGGTCAGATACCCCCTAAAGCTAAATTGGCTACACTGACGAAAAATGAAACAGTTGACAGTCGAAATGTCATCAAACAGATGACAATTGAAATTAAACGGAAAATACCAAAAGAAAATTTTAATTCGAAGACACTCCTTGTGCACATCACAAACACATTCATATGAATCACCCACAAAAATTCCATTAAAGACAAACATCAGACGCCAAATGAGTAGGATATTTTCTTTCAAGTAATTTTATTCACCTACTTTTAATCATTTTGAGATTAAGACTGGTACGAAGGAAAACAAATCACACTTTCTACAGTAAGCAGTAATACAAGCTGTAACTCTTGAAAAAATGCAGTTTTAGTGAGAACAAGTTGAAATCAGAAGAGTTATGAATTTTTCTGATGGTGAATCAAGAACTTATAATTTTTCTTGTAGTGACAACTTGTAAAAATATGATTTATCATTATGAAATAATGATATGTCTTGATTGACAAACTGATGAAACTGAAATGGTTATCATAGATATGCCACAGCAGCTTCTTATGAGCCGCAACGAATTGAATAATTTGAGCTAATTGTTTAGAGAGTCTTTCAAAACATAGTTTTTAGGAAAATATTACTTCCTTTTTCAATCGTCATCGTCAGCTGAATGTTGAATCAATTTTGATGAATTAGTGTTATTGTTTTTCAATATCAAACTCATTTCCATCCTCATATTAGCCAAAATATTCACTTTTGAAATACGTTGACTGTTCAAAAAATGAGATGAATGTTCAAATTTCGCGAGCTACATACATTTAATTAGTGATTTTTTTATGTTGGTTCGTGTGTACGTGTGATTTTTACGTATTTGACGATTTCCCACTACAAAATAAATGGATCGAAGAATTTGTATCAAATCATGTGTGAAAAATCGAATTGAGTGCCCAAAATACTTGAAATACTGACAGTAGCATACGGTGATTCTACTCTGAGTCAGAAAAATGTTAACAAGTGGTACAAGCTTTTCAAAGAAGGCCAAGAAGATATGAATGATTACGCTCGCCCTGGACATCCCAGCACATAAAATCTATAAAAATGTTGAGAAAGTGAAGAAAATTGTTATATAGAATTATCGAAGCACTATTATAGGCGTAGTACGATGTCAACATATCGGTTGGCTCATGACACGCAATTATTTTGAAAATTCTGGTCATGAACCATGTGACAACAGACTTCGTTCCAAAATTGATGAATTCAACCAAAACAAAAATAGGTCATATGAGCTTAAATAGGATCTGTTGGATGACGTCAATGATGATATAGATTTGCCCAAAAGGTTGATAACTGGTGATGAATCATGGGCATATAATTATGACATCGAAACCACAGTCCAATCGTCCCAATGGAAGAGCCAACAAGAGACAAGACCAAACAAAGCATGCCAAGTTCGATAAAATGTCAAAGGGTATTGCTCGCTGTTTTTCTCAATAACTGTGGCGTGGTGCATCAGGAGCTTTTTCCACATGGTCGTACGGTCAATTATCCTGAAGTTATGAGCCGCTTACAAGAAACAATACGAAAAAAATATTCGGTATTGTGGAAAAAATATTCATGACTTTTCCATAACGATAACCCACCAGATCACTCGTCAGTACTTGTTCGTGATTTTTTGGACAAAAGCAACACTGTCATTATTCCTCATTTTTACCGGATTTGACCCACTGCGATTTTTTTCCTTCCCAAAATTGAAGAGTCCCATGAGGCCCATTTTGCGACGAATGAGGAGATGAAAAACGAATCGCTTAGAGAGGCAAATACATTTCAAAAAGCGTATCATACTTCGAGGATTGGAGAAAACGCTGGCACAAGTGTATTATTATTATGATTATGAGAAAAATGAAAATTCATCTAATTTTTTGAGAAGACAGCGTATTTTACATTCGTGGCAAACATCTCCATGTTATCTATACTTTTAACACTCATTCATCTTTGTTTCCCTGTACTGGTGAGTCCTAGGAAGCTGAAATTTGGTATATAGCTGTTTCTTAGGTATTAGATGTGAACTGAGAAGATTTTCAAATATTCCGATAAGGGCGCCCCCTGTAGGGGTGAAAGGGAACAGTTTATATATAAAAATAACCTTTAAATCCCTGCAAAACCTAAAAAACGTTTCGTGTGTTACTGCAGCAAACATCATCAATGATATATGAGTTGTATCTCGTAGTCTCAGCAACGAGTGACTGCATACTTCTTATCCCAGTCTGGCGGACAGTTAGATGCAGGATGCTCAAGTAACGTGAAAATTTTGCTCACTTTTTTCAAAGTGCATATGTGTTCCATAGAATATTGGTGAAAATCCTGAATTAACACTTCTGTACATCTCTCATCGGCGGTAATTTCTGCTGTGCATTTTAAAGCAGGCTAGCTGGCTGAGTCTCCATTTTCATATATGATGACGAGTCAAAATTTCGATTTTTGACGTTGAATCGTAGATATATCTAGTTAATGTGTTCGTGTACTCATGCGCTCATGAGCACTGTCACTCATTGCAATATTTTTATTGTATCTGGGATATTTTTATTCTCTGCTGAAGAGCTGGTATAATTTCATAGGTATCATATGAGAAAATTGAAAAGTAACCAATAGATAAACATAAGCTATCTCGGCAAACAGTATCAACGAACAAAAGCAATAATTATTTTTGAATTTCATACGGAAAATTTACAAAAATCAGAACTCAAATTCCAAAAACAGGAAGAAATATTTTTATTCAACTTTACGCCTCGCCGTTGACCCAGCCAGGTAGGTATACATACTTTCATAGTACATTCAATGACTGAATTTTATCAGTTCAGACTTCCATTGTCTAATATTATATAAAATGATTTGAAATCCCTAAAAGAACCAATACAAATCAGTAATTGAGAAGAATAGTTGAGAATAACATTTATATTAAGCAAAAAACCTGAAATGAAATTACAGTGTAATAAAATACAAGTAAAAAAAAGAATAATTAAACAAAAAATCGAAAGCAAAAAAAAGTTAAGAGAATCCAACCCAAGTTACTTTACGACGTTTCGATTCTTAGTATCCACAAACGTCTTCGGATTTTGGCTTTTTATTTTTTGTTCAATAGTTTTAGTCTTTTACTTGTATTTGATTTCACTGTTATTTCATTTGGAGTTTTTTTTGCTCAATATAATTGTAATTCTCAGCTAGCCTTTTCAATTTTCTATTTGTATTGGTTCTTTTAGGGATTTTATATCATTTTATAGACTAGTAGGCAATGGAAGTCCCAACTAATGAAATTCATCATGAAATATTGTCAATCACCTTGAAACAGACATTTAAATGCTAGTCAACGAGTATTCTATATTTTTTGTTTCACAGAGAGTGTGTTGAATTTTCCTATGTAATCTATGAATAATTGACTACTGAAATTGATTCTATTCATATAAATTGAAATAATAGTTTTGAATTGATGAAAGGAAATAAACGGAAAAATATATTCCTTTTGTGCTCTTTGTCATGTTCGATAATGACAAAATACACATTAGCCCCTTGTGACGTTCGTTTTTTCAACTATGAGTCATCCTTTTGTCCTCCACTCACCTACATTCTCCTGGTTTTCTGCAATACCCTCGTTCTTTGTGACATGACGCCTTACAGATAGCTGAAAATAGAAGACACGTATGAATAAGTGAACAAAGGAAAAATATTTGCCCTATAAAACTTTCAAAAATTCGATAAACCATCATCAGTTTAACGACTGGGAAAGCTTACAATATATGTAATTTCGTTTGAAATATTGATGAAGGTGATTGATCAAGAACAATGCACAGCGAACAAACATCTTTTGTGGTACGAAATTGAATATTTCATAACTATAATGACAAAACAGTTAGTGAATTTCATTTGAATTTCATGTAATACTGTTTCGATCACAAATGATTTAAGTTGTATGTCTATGTGGTTTAATGATGAACCGTAATTTGATAATATTGTATACAGATTGGACAGTGCACTTTTTTTGGCATATCGAATCCCTTATGAGATTTCAATTATAAACGTTATTTCTTCTGATTTGACAAGACACGTCTTATGTGTAATCAATGCAGTATAATATATATTACTAAACAAGCTGACCCGGCGAACTTCGTACCGCCTTAGAATTATTATTTAAATGTTTCGTTGTGCACAATCACATACTTTATAACCTCTGTTATCTTTGCGATTACTATCATATTGAACGTGGTCATTTCATTAATCCCCTAACTGATCTTTCAAATGCTTCGAAAGACTCCTTGAACTGAATTCAAAACTGATAGATCTAATTCTGGCATACTTAAAATACGTTGGACGTCTTTTCAATTAGTTTCATTCAAAACATCCGTTATCGCATAGAGTCTTCGCAAATAATCGTGAATCCAGAACATATCTGTTCGGAAAATTCTCTTCCTACAACCATCATGGCTTTCAGTGCGTTAATATCAACAAGTTGTGCATATAAAAAGGTCATATGGAATAACTCAGAATCCGTAGGTTTGCTGAGAAAGGGATGAGAATGTCTGAAGTAATTTTTAATTTGTGAAAAATAAATTGCGAACAATGGTTTTCTTCAAACTGATACAGGTGGAGATTACGCTAGTAAGCCATTGACAACACTTTCCCAACACCAAAAAAAAAATACGGTCTCTCAAAGAGCGTTTCGCTAACCGATGTAGCATCCTCAGGAGATCATTATGACCAAATTTCACTTTATGTTAGTGTTTTTTATGCTTGTGGCTTAATTACTACCTAGATGTTAGTAGCCTAGATGTTAGTAGCCTATTACCTATCTACATTAGTATTACCTAACTACTACCTGTTATTGATTTCTAAACTATCTGTTTTGTATACCTCTAATTTGTTATGTATTTCGTCTATGTTAGTGATTATCTCTAATATTCATCTATTTCTTATTTAGAATTATTACGTTTGCATCAAACAAAGGGCTGTTCGAAAAAGGACTTTTATCGCTATTCATAGAAATAATTTCGCACTTTTCCATTTCCAAGCTTTCGAAGGCATACAGAAACCTATTGTCATGTACCGATCTCAACAATTTTGAATATTTCCCACTTATTCTATGGTAGTTCTCTATGGCATGTTGAGCGACACTAGCTTTCTCCGGTCTATGGAAATGAATATGCGAGACATGTTCCTTGAAGCGAGGTAATATAGTCCGTTTGGTTTGAGCAACATATTTCTTATCACAATCCTCGCAACTTATTTCGTGAATACCAGAGTTTTCTTTTTCCAACATCTTGTCTTTTGGACTGCCCAACACTTGTGGAAGCGTACGTGCAGTTTTGAAAGCCACTCTTATATTGAATTTTTTGAATGTACGAACAAACACAATGGTGTATTTGGATTTGAACCAAAATACACCAATGGGTTGGTTCGATATAAGAGTGACTTTCAAAATTGCACGTACACTTCAACAAGTGTTGGACAATCCGGAAGACATGACGTTGAAAAAAGAAGAATCTGGATTTACGAAACAAGCTGCGAGGATTGTGATAATGAATACGTTGGTCAAACCAAACGCACTCTATTAGCTCGCTACAAATAACATGTCTCGCATGTTTGGTTTCACAGACCGGAGAAATCTAATATCGCTCAACATGCCATAATATGAGAGTAAATGAGAAACGTTTAAAATTATTGAGACTGGTATATGACATCAGGTTTCTGGATGCCTTCAAAAGCTTGGAAAGCAAAAATTACGGAATGAGTTCTATGGAAAGCGACAAAGGTCCTATTTCGAACAGCCCTTTGTTTGGTATTATACCTGATAATCTTGAATAGAGAACATAATAATTTTAGAGATAATCACTGCATAGAGAAAAAACTCCAGTAATATTCATTACTACACCAAAGGTTCCAAACAGTGCATCAAAAGTAGATAGTAGTTAGGTATTACTAACCGGTGTAGTTAGGTAATATTAACAGGAGGTAGTTAGATAATACTAACAGGAGGTAGGTAGTTAGGCCACTAGCATATAAAAATACTAACATAGTGGCAAAATTCAGTCATAATAATATTATGAGGACGCTAACATGGTGAGCGAAACGTGCGAGAGACCGTAATTTTTGTTATGATGTTGGAAAAGTATTTTAAATAGATTAATTCTACGCTTGAGGTTCCAGTACAAACTTTCAACTACGAATATGTTTCGAATATGTTTGATATTGCATTTTGAACAACAGAGACATGGAGGTTGGGACAAGCGAAACTCACTGTATGTTCACATGGAATTTATTTCAAGATATTCAATTAATCGATAATGATCTGATAATATACAATATTTTCAACTTGATTTCACTCTCAGTCACACCTCCTGCCCTGTATATTTGAAGACTTTTCTTTTTCAATTGAAACGTTCTCTGTCTATCATGTACAGTTTTTCAGATATTTTTATGTTTTCGTCAATTGAAAATATATTTTCTGGAAATGATTATTGAATATCTATTTTATAGATTTGAATCTGTATTTGATTCAACAAAATTTTGATTAATTCGAACGCAAAACGGTTTTCTAATTCAGAAGGTATTCTGGAAAATTTACGTGATTGATTTTTTGAATTCTCTACTCATTATTGAATTATTGAAAATATTCATGACTTAATTGCTTTGAATATCAATGAGAAAACCTCATAAAACAGCAGATGACTCTCATCACACTTGCACCATATTTGTTTCCTTGTGTTCCATAATTTCAACATAGACATACAAACACACCATTTTCAAACTGAATCACATGACATCTGTCAGTGTCAATTGTTTTGTTGTCTCTCTCTGTGGTCTGCAACCACATGGCTTTTGCCAGTATTTTATAATTTCAAATCAAATAACGATTTTATTATGTAAATTTGACTAATATCACGAAGTGTTGTTCTTATTTTCATGATTTTTGATTTGTTGGTTTCATCTCGTCGAAAATAGCTTCATTATCATTATCAAAATATCAGATTTTTTTCAACATAGAAAGAAGTCACGAATTTGTCAGGGTTACCCTTCAAAACTAGATGAATTTTCATGATTCTCGATTTGTTGCATTTGCCTTCTCCTGGAATACCTATTGGAACATTCGAAAAATGAAAAAATTGAGATTGAACAACTAACGACGTCCGGTTCATTGGGTTATGATACCCATTGTGGTACATGTAAAAACAATTGTTATCATAATAAATCGCATCACTGAAGGGCCGTGTTCAGTAATGCCGAGTCTACTATTTCTGTAGTAGATTTACTGTTTCTGCAGCAGTTCCCGAGTTACTATTCTACTCTTTGGAAGTTGAAGTCTACTGTTGATTCAGTTCATAATCATCTCCATAATTCTGAGATTGTTTTTTAATGTACCTTCGCAAAACATTTCTCATTTCGCCCAAAGTGTGAAAAAATTTATGAATTCGTAAGATAATTTTACTCTGAATGAGTTTATGATCACAGCCTTGTGAGAGATATATCATGATTTGTCAAGACGAGTCAGTTTTCATTGCTTCTTGAATACATACGAGTTTGACATAAGATTCCTGTATATCCTGGATGACACTTGCACTCAAGGGGTTTATCACAGTATCCATGAACGCATCCTGGCAAGACCTGGCACTCCTTGCATGTCCTTCCCGACCATCCTATACGGCACTGGCACTCACCAGGGGCTTCACAGTATCCCCGCGTACTATGACAATCTGGTCCACAAATGGCTGAAAATAATGAAAATGTCTCTCATTAGAAGCAGTTTGTGTCATCACTACATATATAAATTGAACTGAAAAACTACCGAACGGATTCACATTTGGTTTTCACCACTATTGGAGTGCTTGAAAAAAAGATGTGTTTGTATGATTGATTGATTTTTAGTGTGAATTGGTTGGAATACAATGTGAGAAGATGGGACAGAGAAGTTATCCATAAAATTTTCAATATAAAGCGATGAAGATATAACAAAATAATTATCTACATATTGTTCTTCTTTTGGAAGTCTACAAAAGTCTGCATTCAACGGATAGCTAACTATACCCATTTTGAAGTTTTTAAATGATGGTAACATATAATGTGGTAATTGGTAAGCTCACCGATGGATATGCTATGATGCTCATTAATAGGTTAAGTGTATGGGCATCAATCAGGGATGCCACCCACTCCGATCGGAGTCTGAAGTATGCCTAACTTGTGAAGATCAGTATTCACTCGGCGTTGGTTAGAGGTGCACTGGTGTCCTTCTAAAAACATTTATTGAGCACGTGTTATAGTTGGTTAGGCGGTTTTTATTTTTTGTGTCGTTGAACATGGATTCCAAAACTGACCCTTCAGAAAAAAAAAGAACGTAATTTACATGTGTAACCAGTCGTTGTAAATACCAATTCTGCTTCGACTAGTGTACAAAAGAAATTCAAGTGGACAAAAATAGAAACATTGAAACAGTTTACATTCAAAAAAATCAAGAGCGATTTCGGGCAGAGGCAGACCTATAAGTTTTTTCAGACTTATAATTGACGACACGAATTGCAAAAAATCAAATAAAACATAACGGCATCCTAGAGTACCTACCTCAAAAATATGGTCGGCCGTCAACCTGTTAAATGAATGATTTAGTGACCTGAGGCATTTCATGCATATTATAATTTCCACCTTTACACTATACAATCCAAATTTATATTAAAGTTAATGTAAATTAAAATAATCGCGTGAGATCTAGTGTGATCTACGATGTTTCAAGATATTTCAGAACGTTCGAAAATGTTTGGCATAATTTTGACATGTTATGAAATATTTTAGAATATACTTGAATATTTTGATGGAAGGCAAGTTTTTCAAATGACAACAGAAACTTTTCTCATGAATGAAGTGCTACCAAAACATATTACTCTCTTGAACCCTCCGATAGTTACAATGAATCTGACAGATCCATAATCGGTACCACCGATCAGACGGCAATCAGACGGCTATCCCAGGTAGTCTTTCAGTTCGGAAAGACAAGTTTATAGCCATCAGTAATATTGCGTTCTTTGAACAGTGATCTATGTTGTTTCCTATACCAATACCTAACACAATTTAGTCTCGCGAGATCCCGCATGACTGAGTTGTGTTGGGTATTTCCAAATTTTTCGATTTTTTTATTTTGGCTATTAGTTCCTAATGTATGTTATTTCANTGTCGGGTATTTCCAAATTTTTTGCTTTTTTTATTTTTGCTATTAGTTCCTAATGTATGTTATTTCATTCGACCGATTGCCTCTTTTTCTTTTTATTTCATATTTTTATGCAATAAATTCTTATGGATCTCATAAATCCTACATCACCTATGTTATATTCATTTGTATTTTGTTGTTTTGTACTGATATAAAAGGTTAGTATATACATGTATGCTTACATATTATAGACATAATCCGATGATTATATTGAAGCAGGTATTTCCAGAGAAATACAGCTTGTAGAAATTCTTATTGATTTATAATAAAATCGACACAGGTTCAACCGAAGAAATTGAGGAGTGACAGGAAAATTGGAATACAGAGCAAAATGATATCGAAACAAAGACATTTGGCGAAGAGAACAAGGAATTTTACGTTATGTAATAGAAAAAAACGGTGAAGTAATTGAAGCAATATTCTGCAGAAACACACTACACCACTCGCAGGTAATGAAAAACTGCAATTCGCTACGGAGCTTTCTAGGTGTGAAAAATAGGGAAAATGACTCCAAAACAAGCATGAATATAAAGTGTTTATTTGATGACAACGTGCTGAAGTTGATTGTCATTCACAAATTATTACTTCGAAAGCATATATGCATTACCTACCAATGAAATCGAATTATCAACTCTTATTGGTGTTTTATACCTCATTGGACTGTACAGAGAAGGATAAATCACAGTTCGAAATCTGTGAGGTACTGATGGCACTGGTATAGAGATTTTTCGACTCACCTTGAGGTTCAACTCTGCGATTTTGTTATTATTAATCTCGTCTCATCCAATATATTCCATCGTATACTACCAAATATGTCATCAAAATATTTGCCGTAATAGATTTACGAGTTGACTATAGATATAATCTTGAAATGTATGAAACAACAAATCACCTTCAAACAAACAACAAGTGATTACCAAAATAACGGATGTGATGAGAGTAGTGGCTTTAAGTAAGTCAAGAATGAATGTTACGAAAGATAATTGGTTCAAATTGGAAGGGTTATATTTTCAGAAGTGAATAATTTTTGAGAAAGAAACTTTTTGGCTATCTACTACTCCATATCGATACAAAACAATGTCGGAATCTTCCAATGGAAGAAAACAAGCAATTAATTTCAAAAGAAGTTACTCTATACAAAGATGTATAGATCATGCAAAGTAGCTGTTTCAGGAGGGCTTTCCTTTCATTTTGTATCTGAAAGTTACTACTTTACATGATCTACACATCTATGTATAGAGTTAGGTACTTCTTTTGAAATTATTACTTTCTTCCTTCCTTTGAAAGATTCCTACATTTTTTGTATCGATATGGAGTAGCAGAAAGCCAAAAACTTTTTTTCCACAAAAATTGATCACTTCTAAAAATATAACTCTTTCAATTCAAAGAAGATTCTTTTGACTGGAATAATTTTTAAATGAAAGTAGCTGTTACAGAAGGGGTTTTTCTTTCAGTTCGTGTATGAAAGTTACTACTTTGCATGATCTACACATCTATGTATAGAGTTACTTCTTCTGAGATTATTGCGTCCTCCCTTTCTTCAAAAGATCGCCACATTTTTTTGTATCAAGATGGAGTAGTGGAAAGCCAAAAACTTTTTCTCTTCAAAAATTAATCACTTCTAAAAATATAACCCTTTCAATTCAAACAAGATTCTTTTGGCTGGGATTTATGACATCACGATGTAATCGATGACATTAGTAGATCAAAATCATTCCTTGACATGAAATCGTGATTTTATGAATGAATTGTGTGTTTATTCTTATGATGTTTCTCAGATTGGTACTGAAAAGCCCTAAGGCAAGTGCCTTACGGCAAAATGTCGGATGTATATCAGTGAGGATGGCAGTGTTCTATGTAAGTAATTTAGTATATTGTGTGAGAATCCTGTGAATGATATCTGATTCAATTTCATAACGAATGTTTGGAATAGAAACTCATTAGTATAATTTACAGTTCATAAAAGTATTTGTTTCGAAAGTATTTTTCTTTCGTGTAATTCAATGTTTGACTAGAAGTATCTGTTTCAGTGTTTTTTTTTCACTTTGTGTCTAAAAGTTACTTCTGCACATGATCTTCCCTTCTATGTAAAGGGTCACTTCTTTCGAAATTGATTGCTTCTTTCCTTCCTTTGAAAGATTCCCACATTTTGTTGTATCAATTTGAAGTAATACAAAGTCAAAAACTGTCTTTCCCAATAACTGATTTAGGAATGTTACACGTTTTGAAACATTGTCTGACGAATATAGTATCTTTCGTAGGAATGCTGAAGAAGAAGAAGTGGCAACTTTTTGAAGAAATGGAGAGAATCAAACACAAAAAACTTGTTTTACAATGTTTGCCTGTAGGGAAGAAGGAACTATTTAATGATACGTACCTTCAAATGAAACAAAGACGAGTGTAATTTCAATTTCAAAAATGCATATGGATGATACAATAAATAAAAATACAATCATCATGGAATTTCAGTTGATATGAAAAATGTTTAAAAGTGTACTAGAAGATGGCCAATGGTCATATCTTTTTTCATTCTTGATATCGCAGGTATCAACCCAAAAATCATTTATGTGGAAAATGAAAATGCCTACAGAAGACGTCCGTTCTTCCTACAATAGTTTGGTAGAGAACAAATTGAATATCAATTGATGAATCCTTCCCTACTTTTCAACTCGCATATGTCTATCCCGGTGAGAATCGAAGAATATATGCCTGAAGCTCAACATTTGATAAAAAGACAAATAAGAACAACCCTCGACATACGAAAACTTCGATCTTACCTGAAAGGAAAGAAGGCTCACTGAGTATCATTTTCTAACGGTTCGATTTCCATTATCAGCAGGCATATTTCACGTATAATGAGTTCATTAATTTATATAATTGTAATAAAACAGTTTATGTAATGGCATTATAATACATTATTAGTCCATTTTAGAACAAAACTTTACGAAATTTCTGAATAACAGTCCATCTTGTGATATGTATCTCACAGATCCAGCTCGACTATCGCTGTAAATTTGGGCGGCACGATTACCAGAGTGTTTGAATTATTAAAAATTCATCTTGTTTGTTCCGGGATGTTACCGAACATTTCCGATCATTCTGAATATTGATCACTACATTCCGGAATGCTCTTCTTAACTTTTCGAGAACTTTCTAGGCGGCAAAATGTCCAGCCTTCATATTTGACGAAGCACGTTATTCAGCACTATGACAGAAAATTATGTTAACATCCACGTCCTAATTCTCGAGAGATGTCGGATCTAGACGCTAGTATTGAATACACGGGTTGGAATAATCTTGAGACAATGTGAAACTTGTGAATCCTACCATATGTAATTGAGAATAAAAAAACATTGCCTGATCACACGAAAGAAATGAACGTAAATATTATTTTATTTTATCATTCTTCATTCGAAACAATTGAAAGTATAAAAAAAATCATTGAAATATTTTTTGCGAAAAGTTATTGACATATATTGAGGCAAAGTGTACTAATGCGCATAGTGACCATTC